CACCCAGTCTCATCAATCGATTCGGATGAGAAATAAATGAAGTGAACTGTGTGCAGGTAATCAGGCGTAATTTCGGTTGTATATTGCACCGTCAAATATAGAATAGAGAACAATCTTTACTGTTCTACAGCATTCCTCAGTTTTTGTCGAAAGGCGTGACTTCAGCCGTGCTCCACAAGTAGACCGTGGTCTTTTACCTGTTCCAAATTGGAAAACAAACGACTTTTACCTATTCCTTTGAAGTTCGAAAACTAGAAATTGTTTTTCATTTGCTGATCCTAAAATAGTATGGAAAGTAAATAGAACAGCTAAATGAGTTTCCTGGTCCTTAATCTTACTCAAAATTCAGATGCAAATCTGTTATGATAGATTTGTTGCAAGGTAACTTTGACAGGTCAGTACGTGCTCTTCGAACCTTTGTATCAAATTGCTATAAATGTGGTGTTTCTCGTGCGCTGTTCGAAAGACACAAGCACAATAACAAACGAGCCAGTCGTGTTGCGCGAAACACTGACAAAAAATGGTTATCCAGCGCAGTGTGTTGACAGGCACACAGACCCAAACACTGAGAATCCTTGTATGGCGTTGGTCTAGCGATCTTTTTTCCATTCAGCTGTGATGATTTCATTGATTTGTTCGAACGACGTCTGCAATGAACTAATGAATGAACTTAGTACTTGATCAAACTCAAGATATTACACAGGACAAGAAGCATACGCGTTCGCCGCTCAAAAAATGCTACACTCCGTGTGCCAATTTTAGTGTATGAGCAGCTGTCTACAGACTATCTCCTTCTATGTCGCACCCCTCAGGAATTCGAAAAAGTAGGTAGATTCCAGGAACTGCAACAAAGTACGTTAGTCAGTAGTAGATGCTTTCAAGTAAGATGAAAAATCGATTGCAGTTTTTTGACAAAATGAACGATATCGATCAAAAGTACGTTACTCCCGTTACTTTTCCCAATGTTTATAATGATGTGCAGTTTATTTATAACAAAATTTAGATACATCTTCCTGCGTATCCTTTATGCATCCATGCCATTGAGATCTTTTATGATGCCCTCAGCTAAATATTAGTACATTGCATCCGGTATTCAGCCATTTTTCAGTTTCATGTGTCTAGTTATACCGAAACTAACTACCTTTCTTCAGTGGAATTTTTTTCCAAACCGATCACAGCATACTAATTCCAGATATTTCTTCATTCCTTTGCATTGTTAGACTAACCGCAGAATTCATTATATGGGGTCAACCATAGTACAGGACTATTTTAACTATTATAACCACAGCATCAATATTAGCTCATTCGATGAAAAGAAGAATAACTCAAGTTGAACACGGGAAAAAAATCACATTCGAAGGAAATTACGTCATCTAAAATAAGTAAAATATCCGTTACGGGATATACTCAGTACGTAAACTTCGTTCTCTTATTCCAAACTGATTTTTCGCTATGCAATCTATTCATGTTTTTCTGGTGAAAATGTGTAGCATTAGCTCTATAGACATCACTCGTTCGTTTGCTTTTGTTGCTGCCAGTGCATGTTACGACCGATTGATACATTCGTTATGGTCAGCGTCGGTAAACGTAAGTGACGGATCAAGTTCGACGCGTGATTCACAAAGTGCATTGCTCAAACAGTAAGGGACGCGTCAGATCCTTTGGCCAATCACCTGTCTGATTTCATCGGTGCGATTATCGTTCACCCATTCACACAGGCGCGTCCGCGCGACGGTATTTATCGAACTCTTGGATCTAACGTCTGACATCTTACTCCACACATCCGCTCACCAGTCAATCGCGATTATTGTTCATCCATTTACACGTAAGTGCGACAGAGCCCATCGACAGATCGAACGGCCGTGGTTTTGGTGACCACTGCAACACAAACGGCCACATTTGGGTGCCCCACAGAATTGTGGATAAAACTTTGCAGACAACAAAGATGTATTTTTAGCAATCATAAATCATCGTTCGTCTAAGCCTAGCCCTCCTTTGGAAATCAACAAGAGTACTGTTTAAATCAATTGTGCACTCCAGTAATCGACCGAACATCCGAGCATTAGTCAAGGCAAACAGTTTCAATTGGTCCAGTAACTTCTCTAACTGAGATAACTTCCGGTGCGTTCATTGCTTCACATTCATCATCTTCTTTGCGACGCTTAGCTTGATTCGGAACGAGGCGATCTCTTTTCCAGAAAGACGTTCGTCAATAGACACATAGTTAGCAGTCTTCAATCCGAGCGCAGTTATCCTCTGGTGGTTGCATCAACGTCTGAACCCAGCTTTTATGAAAGTGTTGATCAGTACGTACGGATGCAGGCACTCAAGCTTTCTTGACCAGATACGTGCCCATGAGGATGCCCACTTCGGATTTCATGCTAGGTTGCTCATCTTCAATCAGAGACAAAATATATTCCAGTAAATATTTATGAAACGAACATTTGGAAGATCAAACCACACCCCGATCCATTGGTTGCAACTTTTGAGAACAGTTCGGAGGCAGCCGCACGGATTTGAATACTGCGGCTTTGTTAGGGCAAGGAGCGTTATCTGTAAATAGTAAAATAGAGCGTCTTTGAAAAACCATCCGACTGCTAATTGTTAAATGACGCAGAAGTCATCCATGGGTTCTTTGAACAATTATGACTGCAAGGAAGGCTTTTTCTATCCCTACCTCGGAGGTATCGTGGAGTTTGAAATTTTCCGATCGCCAACGTTGATAACCTTTGTCCAGTTATGCTCCCACAAGGCAGTAACGTGACTCTTTCTTTGGATTTCTTGGATCAATAAACTGTTTTTCCTTTGAGAAATAATGTTCTTCCTGGGAGCTGCCTGTATTGAAAATATCACAGTCAGCGTATCAATGGCCGAACTTCGGTAACCGATCCACTGCATCAGGTGGTGCCGCCAAACTTTCACCTTAAACCTATAAAGTAGTGCTTATGCGTAGTTGCTTGTCTCTTACCTTGTAGGGTTGAAAGCACATCTGTCTGACCAAAAACAAACCAACTTTTGGAAGCCTTGAAGTCATGAGGATGCATTCTTTGCGCTAGCTGGATAGTTTTCTTATAAATGATGCTCTCCATCGCTGTGCTTTTCCCTCATAGCAGTAGACCAAGCCAAGGTTGCCTCATTCACTGTCTTGGAATTTTCGTTGCTTTTCAGGTAACATCTTTCCTGAGATACTGTAGCGTTTACAAATTATACGACAGTTGTTCGATGGGATATAACACTGAACAGTTTTTCTTGAAATACTAAGTGACTCGGTTATGGAGCTCTGATTTGCACTTGACTGATTCAGCATTTCCAACACGTTCTGATCGATAGACGATCACACATTTTGAAGTCAAGTCTTCGACTATTAGCATCGGTGTGTCTTCCTCGTAAATATTATCCAATCAGTGAACAGTGTCATGTTCGCGTCACACTAAGTGAAACGCCATTGCCTGAGTGCGACCTTACACGTTGGCTTGTCAATGGTCGTCCTGAAAATCAGTCAACGAACATGTGAGTAGGTATCAGGAATTGCGACATATTGAGTGGGGCGACACTGCATGGTCAGGAGCTACGTTATTACACATATGGTTTGTCTCAATAACCGGATGCATACGCAAATTGTACTAATCCCAGATAACTACATATCGCGAGTCAGTTCTACTATGCTTTTGCCAATGCGTTACTAAACCTTCGTTGTTGAACAGTGAGATTTACAATTATTTATACAAGCATATGTTGACAAAGTATTGAAAATCGGTTCCCGTAGCTCGGGTGAACTGAATTCTATTTCGCCTGTTCACCGAGCTTGGCAATTTGTTTGCAAACGTTTCATCACCGGCCGAGGTAACATCATCAGTGTTTGTGCAGTGGCAGTGTTCTGTTTGTATCCTTTCGTTGATATATGTGTTCTTCTCCGCCGACCATTTTTGTCCCTTGTTCTCATTGCGTTCGACTCGGTTCACCGTTAAACTGGTGCGTGGGGCTGAGATTGGTAGAGATTTCGGTTTCGGTGAAGAAGGATACATATATCAACGAACGGATACACGCAGAAGACTGCCACTTCGCAAGCACTGATGATGTCATCTCCGCTGGTGATGAAACGTTTGCAAACAAATTGCCAGGCACGGCGAACAGGCGAAATAGACAAACATATGTTTACGGACCATTCCATACCAACTCTGCTGTGTCCAATTGTTTATTTTGTTTAACTCATTTTCGAATAATCAAAATAATCTACAAGTATATGCAATCATAAATTCAACATTTACCTACAACTAATACATAAAATTCTCAAGAAGTGTACGGTGAAACACAAAAAATATTTGTTGTTAGTCCTGTTATCTACTGTTATCCATTGTAACTGATTAATCTCCATTTCGGTCTGTTCTGTATCTCAACCCCCCCATTGCCCGTTATTGTTATTATTGTTGTGGCATTGGCACTATGGTTGCCTACAAGCTGGTGATATATATATATCCTTACTTTGCATCTTCACATTTCGCATCTTGCATGACGTCACCAGTACAAATGCAAGCTAACCACGAGATGTTATTGACGACCTTGATGACATCATAACAGCTCGAGTTGCTCGTTCCAGGTCGTACGTGTGTGCGTGTGCATTATGCCGGTTTTATTCAGCTGTTTTTCCGCATCGTTACTGATATAGCACTGCACAGTGTGCCCTCTAACCTCAAGCCAGCATCGGAACATGGCGGACATCACTTCTCTTAGCATTGTTCACCAGCACAATAAACGACTTTGAATGTGAACATTCGTTGTCGGTGGAATTGCTACGGAGGTTTGTTCATTTATTGGGCAAGCACATTGCAAAATTCGCTTTGTTCTCTGTGATAACGATGATTTGACTGTTTGTGGTTGGAAAAGTGCGGAAGCGATAATGTTCAACAAACAAATAAGAGTTTGCAAACCTTTCAGCCACCTTTAAATGTCCCCCCCCATACGTTTTAATCAGGATATAGTAAAACATGGCCCAGGAACAAATGGACGAATTCTGTGAGCCGCCCCCCGAAGCGAAACGAGATGAGGATGAGGATCTACGTGTAATGGCCGAATTGAACAACCCGCGAATCTATGAGGATGTGAAACATATACTCCGTCAGGAACAACGAGTGAAGTATGCAATCACACGAAACAAATCCCTGCCCTTCCCATGCAAATGTCTGCAGCTATGCGAATTCGGTTCACTGTTAAAAATTCTGTACAACGCGTTCGAGACACTGTATGAAGAGTACGAATCACTGCACTACGAGTACACCACTCTGTTTCGTATGACGGATTTTACTGTATCTGGAACGAATATTTATTTGTCCAATTCCGGTCAAGCGGTGGGCGCGGTGGAGACCACAATGCCATCGGAAATCATCAACCTGATCGATTTTGCCCGAGATGCCGGAATGCGAGAAGAACGAAAAAAAGCCATTGCCAGTGAGGATGTGTGGCTTAAAACGTACGAGTTGCACATGGAATGTGTGCGATTGTACATGATTAAGGTGGCCAAACCTGAACAGGATCGTTTTATGGAATGGGTACTCTCGCATGTATGGGCCATGTCCAAGTGTATTTGTTATCATTGTGACTATCGAGATGCATTGGTCGCCTATCGGAAAGCGTTGCTTCAATTGCATTTGGAATATTTGACCATTTACGCGCACTACTTTGCGCTTCTCACATCACCACGTGCCCCGGAGAATCGTTTTCTGACCAAGGCGTTGCGCATGAATCCGGGTGATGCAATGATTGTGAAAAGTTGTTTACAATAGGAGCTTTGTTCCATGGTCAATAGATTCCAGTAGATAAATTATGATTTTTTTCTTCACCTCATTTTCTCTTAAACAGAAATGGGAGCAGATGGAAACGAATGGTGACTAGTGGCACCTTTTACCAATGGTAGATGAAGTTATTGAACAAACTGACACTGAGTCTAGTCGAGTATTTCACATCTTGCCAAAGTCATTTGTGGTGATGCTCCAGAATGTGGAGTTTTTGAATCGGATCATATTGATGTAGTTGTATTTGGCCATTAGAACAAGTATGATGATCAGAGATAGGATGAGAAAGATGAAGAAGTATGAGATGATCAGCAACAGTTTCGCTTTGGACGCTTTGCTCTCAAACGTGTCCAACAAGCCGCAACAGTAATCTGTATAGGCGCCCAGGAGTAGAATCACAGCTCCCAATCCGGCCGCTGTGAACGGAACAATCAGAGTCAATATACCAGCAAACCACATTTGATACCATGGAAATTTCATCGGGAATATCGTATCGGTGGATAGAGTGGATGTTTCTGTTTCACTTTTACGATAGGTTAAGTGTGCACTTTTTCCATGGTGCTTCGAATGCTTCGATACGTCTTGGCGATTCAGTTTGTGTTCATCCTTCCACTGACCATCCTCGATAACACGTTTCTTCTTCATTCTTCATTTGACCTGTTCAATTTGGTGGAGAATATCAGTGTGTGGTAAGACAGACGTGTTAATGCATCGATTGCAGATTGCGGCTAATCAAATCCGTCACGTGAGCGAATCATCTGAGTTCATCTGAACGTTGAAGTCCGTTAGTCTCGTTTCAACTCGCATCTTTGATTCCGCATCATGAAATGATTTAGTATTCCAAAATCAAAGATCAAAACTGAGACAGAATTGAAATACACATATTACGTTTTTATCACTCACATATTAGGGGTATGATTTTTAGAATGACTGGATTTATGTAACTGTGGCTAAGAATCAGTGAACCATAAGCTGACTAAATTCAAAGTCAAAGTGTGATTATGGGCATTACCTACAAGCAGATGCTATTCTTGTCCCATAAGGTGTTTACACGAATTGAACTGTAACATTGACGAATAAAATTCCGTATGCTGTATTCGGTTGTATTATGTGTGCTCAGAGATGATGGAATGTAATACGTGTTAGTGATTCGTCAAGTTTTACGCTGAAAGAATCGATCGTCGTGGCACAAACGACATGAGATAGTGAGGAATTCTAGACAGTGCAGACTCTAACGATGTTGACAGTTCATCCTATATTTTTGGAGTAGTAACTTGAATGAACGTTTGATGACAACGTCAAAAGTGGGTGACAAGGGTGGTTCGGGCTGCGTAATATTTGGTACATTAAAATCAAGTCTCCTCGAATCCGACGATACTAAGCAGACTATAGACCCAATGACTGCAGTCTCCCCATGTATGAATCATAACAGAGTCCTGTGACCATCTTCGTGGCGAGCCGTTGTGGACGCTCCAAAATCTTACGATCACGTTGTAACCACGGCTTCCAGATTTGGATGGCATACTCAATATGCGGTCGGATGTATGCTGACAGCAGACGTGGGAATAAAGATGATTCAAAACGACCAAAAACACGTTTAAGTAGACCGATATGTTTCAGTGCTGTTGATGACGCCCCGGCACAATTAACAGAACGGCTCAGGTCTTCGTGGACTATAACACCCAAGTCCTTATCTGTTGATGCATGCGGCAGTAGTTCGTTTCCGAGGAAATAAGGAAAGCGACCATGGTAGCCTAGCGAAATCACCTTGCATTTGGATGTCGTTCTCAATAGACCATCTGTGAGCTGCATTCAGTGTTTTTTGAAGTTCCATCAAGCCCTCACTTTCTGCCACTGTCTTCCAGATTTTGAAGTCGTCTGCAAATAATAATGTTTGTGGTCCTAGGAAATTTGGTAAGTCGTTTATGAACAAGAGAAAAAGTCGAGGATCAAGCATAGAACCCTGGGAGACTTCGCGGGGAACGGTGATAGGGGCCGATAGTGAATTAGAGACTCGAACCGACATGGTCCTTTGTTGGAGAAACTCAGCAATCCAATCAAGCGCGAGGTCTCTGATACCAGTACAGTACAGTTTACAGAGTAGTATTTCGTGGTTCACCCGATTGAACGCTTTGGAGAAGTCCAGGTAAACCACATTAACTGCATCGCCTTTGTCTACTGCTTCTGTCGATTCATCGTGGGCCAGGAGCAGATTGTAGTACATGATCTCCCTTGATGAAATCCGTGATGAGCTGGAGAAACAAGGTCGTATTTCTCTAAGTGTTTCATCAAGAAATCTGCTACAATGGATTACATAACTTTGGATAGAACGGGAAGGAGTTTCACTGGCCGGTAGTTGACAGGGTCACTACGACAGAAGCCTTTGTAAATTGGAGAAAATATGCCTTGTCCACACGATTGGGGCAGCACGGTTGCGTCAAATATCCTTTGGAAAAGAAAAGTTAGTGGGTCAGATATGTGATCCGCTAACGAAGTAAGCGGTTGGGAGTGCAGATTGTCTGCATCCGGAGCCGAATACTAACATAAACCCAGAAGCTTTGATTTCACTCTGTCTGCATCAAACGTGAAGGTAGTCATTAGTGGATTTGGAAGGAAGAGTATCCGACGAGGTAGTCGCAATCTCGCGTTGTTGGGTGTATCAAGGACTTGGGCAGCAGCATCTCAGCTGCTTCCTGGGTGTTACTGGTGACCTTCCCAAGACAGCTGAGTGCGGATATCTCATACTTTCCTATAAAACATGCAGTTGGAAGAGGTGAACACAAAAACCATTGTTTAGGTTTCAGATCTGAGGAGAGGACTTGGGGGTTAGATGCTGTTTTTGTGCATAGGTGTATGGTTAGTTATGTGGTTATGGCACTTATCTCACTGGGAAAAGTAACATTTTATGTCTCGTGACGTTCTTTGTCCTATAAATCAAGGTAGTCGAATCAGCAAGTTTGGAGCACACAGGTCCAAGCTAATTTAACATATAAGAAGATTGGTGGAATGAGTTATTTTGTGGATAGCATGTCTTGGAATTCAATAAATCTATTCATTGGATAAAGAGATGTTTCATATTCATATTTTCAGTACGGATATTTTTAATACTCGGGAATCAGAATGAAGTACTATCTGAAAAGCTCGTTAACACAGAATAGAGTAGTCACGTCTTTATGGATATTGTTATCCATCCCTTTGTTTAACTCACTGCATCCGGAAGCGAACTGAAACCTCGTTTTCTTTCATGGTTGTGAGAATCCATTTCGTGAAATTGATTTTTCAAATTGCACGAAATGAAATCTACCTGTCCATTGCTATGAGTGAGAGTGTAGCCTTCACGATTCACAAGCATTCATCGATTTACAGAAGTCATTTTCTGCGAAATGCCTTTCACTGAACTCTAGGAGTGTGAAACTTTGCGATCTCATGAATAAAATATGTTCATAAAAAGATCAACCCAACACATCTGTGCACTGCATGCTCGTCTGTCACGCAGTCTGTCAATCAGTGAAGACGTAACTGACAGAACTATGAGCTAATTGAAACTGGACTCGTTAGACTTTCGACAGATGACATTCGAGAAATTCTGGGGGAAGCAGATCAACCGAGATTTTGCTAATGCCTGTTTTTGATCCTTGCTAAAACTGTCTTAAATCACCTGTATCAACATCGAGGGATTTTCAAGTCCAGTTGAAGACAAGAATACACTTATTCGTGATTGTAGACAAATTTTCATTGAAAAAGTCAGCGCATTTGGCTTTACATGGATGTATTTTGTCTTGGGATGAATCTATTTGGGGTCGCAGAAATGTGCGATATTCAGTGTATTTGAATTCATGTCACCCTTCACGATCGATTTCAAGATAAGTAGATCGGAAATGTTTGGAAGCTTAGTACGAGTAGCATCTGTATGAAAGTCAGTGTCGATCTACCAGAAAGAGAGAGAGGATCTCTTTTTCTAGTATGATAGAATAAGTCACATGAGTTACTTCCGTTCCTAAAATATTATTTTTACCCTCAATCTGTGATAGTGCACCCCTAGTGGTATTACGTTAATGCAGCGTGGAACAAAGTTAAAAAATACTGTATTTGCACAAATTGATGTTTTGTGGTCAAAACAAAAATGCAATCATTTTCCATAAGTATTATTTTTCTAAAAAATTGAGCAGTAACATTTCTTTCAAGTGAACCCAATTGGATGAACTGAAGTAAAGAATCATCATCATCATCATCCATTTGCTCACTCCTTTTCCACAATAAATGTTAGCCCTGGCAAGTTTTCTTCACAAAGACACGCATACTGCTTCTTGAGCATAATACAAATGAAACATTTTGAGGACAGTTTCTAAAAGCCGATTACAGAGCAACATTTGATCCGATAAAGCGCACCGTTACCGTGAGTTTAGCTGAAGATAGACAAAATTGGAATACGGAATACGATGAATGATATGCAGTCAATTAACATGTCTAATTCGGAATTTACTGTTCGTTGAAGGTCCATTTGTGAGTCGTGATGTGTCCTGTTCTCTGCGACAAACTCGACGCTCAAAACTCATATTGTTGGAACAGATAAACTGGTGGAGGTCATGCACACTTCACCCCCTTCCTTTTTCTCTCTTTACCTCCCCCACACACACTTTCTGACCGCCATTTTTCACAACGGGAGAGAGAATCACCCGCTTTGATATAGCCCGAACCTTTTCTCTCTCTGTGGCAGTTTGAGTGCTATGCCTTAGTAACAAACTTTACAAATTATAAATGAACATATGAAGAAAACAATTCGATCCACGCATACCACAAACGAAACTGTGGATATCCATGCAACCTGTTCCACATGATATTCTCGGTGTGAACCGAGGAGGTGGTAGCTGTTTCAAGATCATTTTAAAGTCGATGGCTACAAAGGAGCAGTAGAAGAAAACAAACTTTACTGATGGTAGAAACAAAGGTGCAATTGTTTGTACCTAGTACCGTCAAACGAGGTTAATTTATTTTGGATGAAGGAGTTCATCTGCCAGGCTATATATTGCCGTAGAAAGATAAGGTTTCGCGCACAATATCCTCATTTGCATCTCGAAAAGTTACAGTGAGAAAACTCAGACTCATAGGAAACATCGTGACGATCTCGTGATAGTTTTTTATGGATTAGTTGTGTTTCATCTACAGCGCACTGGACGCTAACACCGATTTTCCAACTTTTGGTATCCGAATGATTGGATGAAATACCACAGAGAAATATATCCGGTTTTATAGTTCCTGACGCTCATCAGGCATATGTAATCGGTATTATTTTGCGGTTTTAATATCCAATCAAGCATTAAATTCTTTCCTTTATGGAATGATATAATCGAACAAAATCGTTTCTTGCCGGATGCTGAAGGCTGGTCAGATTTACCGCTCATCGTGGATAAAACCCCGCAGTGTTTCACCTTGCGGCTACATTCACTGCTATTCAATTTCTCCATATTGAGCCTGTGTGG